TGTAGATGCAGCCCTCCGAAGCAATTATGCAACAAAATACTCCATCCTGGGAAGACAGCAAGGGGGGAAAAATGCTGGCTGCTTATAAAACGCAGGCAAGGAAGAGTTGGATGAGAGGTGTTACTGGCTTAGTGATGCGCTTGGTTCCAGCACATGGAAATCTTCGGACTGGACGCGGAGGCGATGGATTTGGATTTGATTCCTGGCTCTGCCGTGGATGTGGGCAAGGCCCCTTGTGTCTCTGTGGAGGCAGGAGGGAGGGTGTATCAGGACAAGGCTATGAGGATTGTTTTTGTAGTACCTTGCTTCAACCGTGTCCCCCATCTTGGCCTCGCTTCCCTTGTCTCTATTGCATCAAATCTAATTTATTTGCCTTCCAAGCCTAGGTCCTCCCTGGTCTATCCATGTCCTATTGCCTCTTGTTCAGTCTCTCATCCCTGCTCCTATTCAGTCCACATTGATAGTCTCCACTGCCACCCTTTCAAGCAAAGTCCATGCCCTTGGGAAGAGCTCTCCATAAATAACTTTGAACCCAGCACATTATCTTCCATCAAATTGCTTCATAAGGACCCCTGCTTTCATAAAACCTTGACAACTGTCATGCTGCTGAAGTGCTGAGATCCTGATGAGCACGACTGTCTTATTCCCTTGCCCTCTCCCCCTTCTAGGTCTGTATCTACCCACTTTGCTTGCAAGCGCTTTAGGGCAAGGGCGCTCTTTGCATGCTGCATTTGTACAGCACCAAGCACAGTGGGAGTTCATCATGAGGGCTCCTAGATGCCGTGGTCAGACCGGTAAATGACTGGTGAGCTGCTAAAAGTGTCTATTATAGCGCTAGTGCAGATCTAATTTCACAAGTGTGAACAACCGAGATTTTGGGAATCCCAAGATTATGCAGCAACGTCATCTTACTGTCTACAGCAAGGCACCCAATTGTCAGAGCATTGAAATGGCCGGGACTGCTTCTCTTTGCTTCCATGCAGGTATTCATGGTGTTCAAGCATGTGCAGCGGCAGCAAAAACAGGGTTGCGTCTATTGTGATGGAAGCGTGCAGTTACCAGCTGCTGCATTTAAAATGTGCCATGCTTAATGCCAAAGGACTGAGTTTCCCTTGTCATCCATCGCAGCTGGTGCAAGATCTGGCTAATTAGTACTCAGCGCATGCCTGAAGGTACCCATCATCGCAGGAATGACAGGTGAATTTTCTGACCTTTCCTTTAAAAGCATAGGCTGTACTTTGCATTCCCAAGAAGCCTCTCTCCCTTTCAGGCTCTATCACTTCATCCTCCATGTGAAAAATGATTTAATGTCTTGTAAAATTAATTCTCTGTTATGGATCACCTTGATTAAATGGCCCAACACTGTGCACTAGATGCGACAATGCCCGGTGACACAGATGCCTTCATCTCCCAAAAGGAAAGGTCAAAAAGTCACAGTTGCAGGCAGCCACTGGGACAAAATCTTAGAGACTTAGATGCTACAAAGGTAAAAGATTAGCCCGGCTATTGGGGAACATCATCTGTGATCTTCAAGCCTATATATGCAACTACCAAATTCCATAACGACTGACAAAAAAACTCAATTAGCTCTTTCAAAGTCTTTCTGAGACTAACCACAGCTGATCAGCGAGAGGTTTCCAGATCTCTGCAGGGTTTTGAAAGGTGTATGATGATGCATGTCCCTTGAAAACTTTGGGCCTGATTCTGGCCATGTGTACCACTCCAGGTGGGCTCTTGACCTCTGTCAGCCTACCCCATGTCATCGCCTTTACATCCTACATGAGATGTTTGTCCACCAGGCTTTATGACATAAAAACCTGAGATGGCACAAAGAAACATAAAATGCTCTCCAGACAATGCAAGCGAGTTATCCTTATGGTGCCCGTACACTTGGCATATAGTTATTACCAGATTTCCAAGTGCTGTGGCTTTGGATTTGTGCTTGGTATATGCAACTAGTTCAGTTAAACTACCAGTTAAGCTATTTTGCATGCTATTGGAAAATGCACTACCCTTGGGGCTTGATCCCCCTATAATAGGCAAAAAAAGGCCTTTTGCCAATGTCAGAGAGAGCAGGAATGGACACAAAATGCCTTCACAGTGTGTGTGTATGTATGTAAAAAGAACCATGTATTTGGGCACTGGACTGCTGAGCCCACCCGGTCCATGTGCCTGCTTGCATTTGGAGTCAGCATTGCCCCTAAAAAGTATTTTACTCTTGTTGGCAACTTTGTTACAGTGCTTGCAATGAATGATGAACATTTCCAAAAGGTGTCCCATACTGTACACGGCCCCTGGATATTTCAGCATCTGCGCACCTGAAATGCCAAGTAAATATCCCATTTAATTGTGTGATTGGGACAAATGCATGCCAAAGTCCCCATTCTTCTGGGTCCTAGAGAGACATATGGAGCTGACAGCCCCTGCCCCAAAGAGATTACAGTACAAATCGAGAAGTCAAAGAAGTTTGGGGAAACTGAGGTGCAGAGGTGGGATGACTTGTTTGAGATCACAGGGCAAGCTGGTGGTAGAACCGGGGGCAGGATGTATTTTTCTGGACCCTGGCTGATGTGTTGCTTGCTGGGCTGCAGCCTCTTTAGCTGATTTGATTGTTGTGTCGCTAGTACCTCTCCGTCCCCCCCAGATGTGTTGGGGACAGCACCGTTACGCAGGAGGAAGGGGCGAGGTGGATGAATGAAGGGCATTTCCTTTATAAACTCAAGTTTCCTCACCTCAAACCTCATTCCAAGTCCATAGACATGCATTGGTTCCAGCCCCTGTGAAAGACCTTGTAGGGTAGCAAGCCGCCCCGGTCCCCTTTACTCAGCCCTCTCTGTCACCTGTCCAGAAATGCCATGCCTGCACACATCAGAAGGATGATGGCAACAAAATAAATAGCTTGAATACTTGGCATTTGCTGCATAAATGAACATGAAATAAATATTGGATGAGTTAAGAGCATTTATCAGATTGGGAGCCAGCTGCAAAGAGCAGAGCTAAATTCATAAGTGCTCTTGTTCCCTGCAAAACCTCTGGTGGTCCCAGTCCAGCGAGGCTTCCTTGCACTGATTTAGTGTTGTCCTTCCTGCAGCCTTTGAAAAAACAATCCATTAACAATTAAAGCAAGGCCTGGCTAATTATGTATTACGTGCTTTTGTTAATGCACCAAAGTTTGTTTAAAAACAAGCCTGAGCGTATTTCTCAGCAAGGCTTAACTCTGTTAATTCCTTGAAAGAGTTCGGGCCGGTGGGGGTGCTCAGGGAAGTTGACTATGAATTAGCCTTTGAAATCAAGCAGATCTGAACCGTGGTGAGCAGCTTTCTTCAGACGTGAATTCAGGTGGAAAGGACATCTTTTTGGAGGCGAATGACACACAGTGAAAGCCAGCATCACCTTGAATCCCCGATGTGAACTAGGACCCCGGTGTGCACGGTGCTGTACATTTTAGTGCTGCTTGCCTTGTGAATGGGGAAGACAAGGCCCCTGCCACCCTTTCTGCTACAGGCTGGGGACTTCCACCGGACCCTGCCAGTGCCCCTGCTGGGACCAAAGCTGGCCAGAGGATTGTGCCCTTCAGCTCAGGGTCAGACCAATGTCATATTTGAAGTCAGGGAGGAATTTTACCCCATGGTCAGACTGGTGGTGGTGGGGGGGGGGGGTTGTCTTCTACTGGGGGTCCT